GGGTCCCCTAGTTGCCAGGAACAGGGGAGTTTCTACTGAAAATACTGAGGTTGTAAACCAGGCCTCCTGAAAACACACAGATGAGTATAAAAAAGCTCCTCCCAAGAAATGTTCAATAGGAAAATATAATCTAGTGGCCATAAAATTACAAATCTGGAAAATTTGCAAGAAAGATTCTGGCCTTTGGTAAACCCGGTGTATCAGAATTTATGCCACAAAAAGGGACCCTAGAGATAGATTTAAACTGTCCCTGCCCTGTCCCCAGACCTTGGGTCCTAAGCACATCCTGACTCAGAGTCCCACCTCCTGATATCCAGGAAGTGATCCTCACCCTCTTCTCCATTCCTGACAAGGTTCACTGCATAGTTAATCATTCCAGACAGAAATCAACCAGGATTGCTGGTTATGCTTAGACAGCCTCCCCAGATTCCCATACTATATAGGGAACTAACCAGACTGTCATCCCATTGTCTGACAAAACTCATAGTGACTTGGGGACAGCCCAAATGAACATTAGGGGACTCACAAGAGGCTGGAACTTATCTTCTAAACAAAACTTTTTTTTTAAAAAAAGACTTATTTATTTATTATATATACATCATTCTTTCTATGTATGTTTGCATGCCAGAGGAGGGCACCAGATCTCATTACAGATGGCCGTGAGTCACCATGTGGTTGCTGGGAATTGAACTCAGGACCTCTGGAAGAGCAGTCAATGCTCTTAACCTCTGAGCCATCTCTCCAGCCCCTAAACAAAACTTTTAACCTAAGCATTTTCCTTTAATCTGATACCTGATATTCTGTCTTGCGGGGTTAACTCATCTGAACATCAGTAGTATTACTGGACCCCTGAGACTACCTGGTGGGCATGGATCAATGGTTTGACAAACGTACCTGTTCTGATGTTTTCCAAAGTGAGAAATTCCTTTTATTCATCTTAGTAGATGTTGATCTAGATATGTTGATCAGGACCTAGAGGTATTAAAAGTTTCCATTTCTGAATTAAAACAACAGTTAAATTACCTTGCAGAAATGGTTCTACAAAATTGGAGAGGTTTAGACCTCTCATGAGAAAAAGGAAACTATGTATGGCTTTGGGAGAAACCTGTTGTTTCTATGCTAATTGATCAGGAGTAATAAGAAAAATATTGCCATAGTTGGAGAAAACCTCAAAAAAAAAAGCCCTCAAAAAAGAGAGAGAAAAAAAAACAAAGACAGAAATAAAATAATTAGTACCAATTTCTGTTCTCTTGAGACCCCTAGCTAAATACTACTAGCACTGGATTAATCTTTAGTTCTCATTCTGATTGGATTAACAGCAGGATTCTTCATCTTAAACTATGTGGCCAATTATGTATCAATTCAATAAAAATTAATGGCCCCTGGGACCAACTACACCTCTTTAAGGTAAGATGAGGCCACAATCTGACTCATTCGATAACACTAGTGGGGAAACTAACAGAGCCCCAGACCTTAATAGGCCCGTCAGACTATAGCACAACTGACAGACGTCATGATGGAAGTACCATTCAGGTCATAAACAGCATGTAGACAGCACCACCTGCTAAATAAAACAAAGACCTACTCCATCAAAGTCCATAGTTCTAGTTAAGTCTCTAAATGTAATAACCTTGTGTTTTGGCTTCTGTAGTTCTACTTCTAGATAACTGTTCTTGTTAAATGAAGTATGTCAACCCAGAAGATGGCTTTTGTGCTTAAAAATTTACCCTGAGAAAGGCTCAGAGCTACACTGGGATCCTGAACACCCACTGTAGTTATCGGCTGGCTAACAAAGGCTTTCTATAAGTTTAAACCCATGTCTATGAGATCAGAATTATCCAGACAGCAACATACAGACAAAACTATAGGCCAATGTATGATTGATCAATACATATGAAAAGAGCAGCAAATTAAACTTACTATGACCAAGTGGGATTCATTCAACAAATGCAAGATGGTTCAATGCACTGAGTAACCACATCAATGAAATGAAGGACTGTAAACCATACGTGTGCAAAATATGTTTGATAAAATTCAACACCCTTTCATAATAGAACTGAAAAATTGGGAATAGAAGGAATATATTACAACATAATAAGACCTTTATAATAAGATGATAGTTAAAAAGTCAAAGGAAACAAGCTGAAAGACTTCTTTCTAAGATCTAGAACAAGAGAGGGATGTTCTCTTTCACCACTTTTATTCAGTACAATGCCAGAAATCCTAGCAAGAACAATAAGGACAGAAAAACAAACAATCATTCGGACTGAAAAAGAAGTCAAACTGTTGCTGTTTGAGGTTACATGTATATTCACCAAAACCAAAACAAAATTAGAATGAGCAAGTACATTCTGCAAAGTTGAAGAATACAAAATTAGCATGCAGAAATTGCCTGAAATAAAAACCAAGAAAGCAATTTGATTTACATTATCTATCAAAGTAAAATTTTAAAAATAAATTTAAAAAACCGGGCAGTGGTGGTGCATGCCTTTAATCCCAGCACTCGGGAGGCAGAGGCAGGCAGATCTCTGTGAGTTCAAGGCCAGCCTGGTCTAGAAGAGCTAGTTCCAGGACAGGAACCAAAAAAGCTACAGAGAAACCCTGTCTCAAAAATCCATAAATAAATAAATAAATAAATATGCAAAAGATCTCTATAGTAAGATGTATAAAACACTGATGAAAGAAATTAAAAGGGATATAAAAATATGAGAAGCCACCCTGTGTTCGTGGATTGGAAAAATCAACACTGTTAAAATGTACTAGCAAAAGTGATTTACAAATCTGATCTAATTCCTATAAAAATACTACAAATGCTTTGTACAGAACTAGAAAAAAATGCAGTAATAAAATCACATGGGCTGGGAGGTGGTGGCACACACCTTTAATCCCAGCAGAGGCAAGCTGATCTCTTTGAGTTCAAGGCCAGCCTGGTCTACAAAGCAAGTTCCAGGACTGTTTCACAAAGAAACACTGTCTCGAAAAACAAAAACAAACAAGCAAAAAATAAAAAAAAAATTCAAATGGAACCACAAAAGCCCCCAAGAAACCAAATATATGCCAAATAGATAGAACAAAGTAGAAGGAACTATATTTCCTGTCTTCAAATCAAACTGCAAAGCTAGATTGATTTTTTTAAAAAAAATTAGTGTGATATGATATAAAAAAGGACACACAAACCAACTATAAATAATAGAATCTAGAAACAGCCTACACATCTATAATCAACTCTTTTCTAACAAAGTTGCTAAGAACACACAATGGAGAAAAAACTGTCTCTGTAGTAAACAATGCTGGGAAAAATTGATGGCCACAGGTAGAAGAATCTCTTGAAAATTACAAAAATCAACTATCTCTCACTAATTACAAAAGACCAACTTCGAATATATTAAAGGACTATATGTATCACCTAAAATGATGAAACTACTAGAAGAAAAGTAGAAAAAATGCTTTAAGACATTGAAACTGACAGGAAATTTTAGAAAGGACAATAAAAGCAAAAGAAGCAAAAGCAAAAATTACAATGGGGTAACATTTCACTAAATTTTCTGCATAATATAGGAAAGCAGAATGCAGAGACAGTCTACTAAACGGTGAAAATACTGGTAGTTCATACATCTGGCAAGGGTCTGATACGCAGACTTTATTAGGAACTGCAAAACACTCAGAAAATCCTTCAGAAAAAAAACATTTAAAAATGAACAATATGCCAGGATAGGCATTTGCCAAAAGAAAACAAACATAAAAGTGGACAACAGGTGCTTGAAAAAATGCTTCACACCACTAACCTTTAGCAATAAGAGATGCCACCTGACACCAATAAGCATTGCTATTATCAATGATTAAAAATAAGACATGCCAGTGAGACTGTGAAGAAAAAGATATTTTACTCTGCTCATGAGAATGCAAGTTGATACACATACTATAGAAAATAGTATGGAGGATCCTAAAAATACATAAACGGAACTACCATATGATCTAGGAATTCCACTATTAGGTATACTTCCAAAGGAAATTAAATTAGCATGCTAAAGAGCCATCTGCACTCACACACTCAATGCAGTACTGAAATTCACAATAATCAAGAAATAGAAGAAAAACCGAAAGTATTCAAAAACTGATGAATGGCCAGGCAATGGTGGCGCACGCCTTTAATCCCAGCACTCGGGAGGCAGAGGTAGGCGGATCTCAGTGAGTTCGAGACCAGCCTGGTCTACAGAGCTAGTTCCAGGACAGGCTCCAAAGCCACAGAGAAACCCTGTCTTGAAAAAAAAAAAAAAAAAAAAAAAAACTGATGAATGGATAAAGTTATGGTTCATGTACAGGATAAAATATTATTCAGTCATGAAAGCCATTCTGCCATTCCTGACAACAGGGCTGGAACAGTATGTTAAATAAAATAAAGCAGGCACAGAAAGACAAATGCCTTATCATTTACCCATATGTGCAATCTGAAAAGGTTGACCTCGAAGTTGAGAGTAGAATTGTTGTTACAAAAGGCTAGGGAGAGTATGGGGTAAAGCTAATTAACAGTTACTAAGGTTCATTAGGAACTAGAAGTTCTGGTATGTTCCTATATGGTAGGGTAAGCACAGATAACAATAATGCACTATATTTAAAAAATCTGGAAGAAAAGACTTTTAAAGTTTTTAGCAGCAAAAAAAAGATAAATGCTTGAAATGAATATGTTTAACTACATTTGAAAAGCACAGAAGTTATACATATACTACACATTACAGCAGGTTAGGCCATTAAAATATCAATTCATGTTTTTATGTATCTCTTAAAAAGAATACTTAAATGGTAGAGGAAAATAACAGCATTTTAAAAGATGTAGACACATTCAAATAATCACATATTGATGACAGGAATACAAAATGTTATTTCCATTGTGGAAATCAGTTTGGCAGTTCCTTAAAAGCTAAACAGAATTATCATCACGTTCCCAAGCAATTCCACTTCTAAGCGCATTTGCAAAGGAAACTGGGGACTCCCACAGGTACCTGTACTGTGATGTTCACTGCAGCACTGGTCATAATAGCCCAACTGTGGGAACAGCTAAAGTGCATATCAATAGATGAAATGCCAGAAACTTAGAGAGATGGTTTTCGACTCTCAAAATTACCACTCGGGCAGGAAGACTGATTTCTTTCTTTGGCACCAATATATACACATATCCCAAACTCACCCTTCTCCTTAGCTGATACTGGAAAATTCCAGGCCATCAACTGATTAAGTGTGTGCTCCAAAGGGCATTTGAGAAATAGAATGTTTCCAAAGGATTTGGTCCAACTGCACTGTGAAGAGCTTCAGTGAGACAAGTACTCACAGCTGGTATTAAAGGCTAAGGGAAATCTGTGGATTAAAAACAGTTACATAGAACTTCAAAAATCTTCTAAATCAAAGTGGCACATTGCAAGAAAAAAAAGCCCCCACTGCTTTCCCCCCTAATTCACAAAGATGGAAATCATCCTTCATTTTTATTCCTAGGAATATGAAAAATAGGTTCACATCTGACCTTCATAAAAATTAAACCAGGACTAGCTGTTAAAATTTAGGATATATTCCAGCATATTGATATTTTTTATTTAGATCTTACCTAGATACATGACGTTTGGAAAAGGAGGGTCAAAAGAAAGATCATAGGCACATTCGTGTGTTACACACATACACACACACACACACACACACACACACACGCATCCTCCAGAGATTATAATCTCTATTATTTCCAATGTTGGGCAGCAAATTGCGACTAATCAAAGCAAGAGACCTGCAAAAGGCCTGGGGAGTAGGAAAGGCAAAGGTAGTATGAAATCCCAACCTATACCTGTTGTTCTATACCACAACCCTCTGCTCTCAACCTAGCTTTTGTTATATAAACGGTAGGCTGAGGTAGAATAAGCAGCATGGCTTCAAACAGTAAACTGAAAATAAGCAGGATAGTGAGGATGAGGAGATGAATTGCTTACTAACTATGCACTAAAGGACTTTGATATCTGGTGGTTGTGTCACACACACAGCCATGCCCTGACCTTAAGAATCAGCAAGAATACGGAAAAATGACCAAATTAAAAGTATTGGGCAGAAAACAAAAGCAAGGGTGAGAACCAACAACCAAGCAAGTGGAAGAGTTTATATTAATATTCAGTTTCTGTAGGTGATCCCAAGCCCTCCTCTGAGGCCCAGACTGTAGGGATAGAAAAAACCTCATTGGAAGTAGTAAATCTGGTATTCCTGGATAGGGAGGGTGCTAATAAGGATACGAAGCAGAAACTCTCTTGGGGATTAAAAACTTCAAGGCATCCTAGTGAGACAACAGATGTGAAAGGCTACTCAAGAGTAACATGAAGGCAACTGTATTCTCCTCCTCCAAAGTCTGCCATCACCCACTTCCCCAGAGTTGTCAGGATAGAGAACCCTCACTTGAAACTCTACAACCTCCAGAGAGTCAGAAGCACAGTCCTGTCTTCTTGGTCACAGAATGATTTATTTTATTCCCTGAACATGTTGAAACGAAAAGATCTTCCAATCTGTGAACCCGTTTGTTTGTGCCACCCCCATCATTAAATGGACAGACCGCGATCATGGCTGTCTTTACATTGTTCATCTCTGACTACAATTCAACTGAAGAACTGGGACAATGTTTTCATCATGTTTAGCATGCAACTTTATTAAAAACACGCAAATAGAATACGAAAATACACTCATATCAGTGTAACGCACAGAAATATAGCTTATTTAGGGTGAAAAGGTTCAATCCTGGGTTACATTACAGATACCAAAAATACCAATTTATATTATAGATAAGCACAATAAAAACCAACAAGTGTTTACTCTCTCAAGATGACTAGCATCCATAAAATTGCCTCCCTCAACACAGAGAGTATAAATATCAAATTATACTTATAATATGCATTAGATTTATATTGGAAAGACAAAAATGCTCAAGGTTTTGTGAGAATATACAGCTATTCAGAGTTTGAGTATTAATCGGATAACTTTATCTCTCACATCAGGGTCACTGTGCTCTGCTAAGTCATTGAGTTTCTGGTCAAACTCTTTTGCCTCATGGAATATGGAAATAAGTTCAGATTTAGTGAACATTTCCTTGGTAAACAGCTTTGCCCTTTTTTTGAACTGGAAATTTATATTCTCAAATATATCAATGATATGTAGAATATTAGCCTTTGACTCTTTCTTATGAAAGAGAGCAACCAGTGACGACAATACTTCAGCACTGATCAGTTCTCTTGTATTGGCTTGATTCTTTGACAAATATAAAATAACCCTTAAAATCTGAAATATGATTTTGACACTTCCTTTGCTTAACAATGTGATAAAATAGCGAACGTAATTGACAATCACGTGGTGGTAATCAAATTTTATACTCAGGCTTGCTAACAGTTTTAGTTCCTCAACTTGTACAGAGCAGTTCAAAGGACAACAGAGTATGTCCCTACAAACTTTATTTACATGTGCTTCATTCTCTTTTGCTTCATCAGAAGCATCGGAGCTGGCACTCACATTTAAATTTCGAGGGTACTTTTTAGCATTTGGATTATTGACAAAATTTTCAATCATAACAGTAATACCAACATCATGAACGATATCTTGAGTATGCAGTAATGGGTAAGCAGGACTGATGCCCGTTATCATTGTAGCTATCTCATGAATAAAAGGATCCCTAGTTAACCTAAGTAGGTCAACAAGCTTATCAAACTCTACAGGCTCTAAACTAAATGTACGCGATTTACAGCGACAGGTCTTTGGGTTGGGTCCATACTTTTCTCTTTCCCGAATTTGTTCTTTTATTTCAGCTAAGGTCTGGAAGTAAGGTCCTTCAAAAGGTGGAATCTTGGTCAATGGTCGAACACCCAGAGGAGTTTCAATTAAGGTATCAACCAGAGTCCAGTTCCCTTCTGGAAGTAAAGGTCGTTCACCTTCCTCAACTGGAACTAGGACAATAAACCTGCCCCTTGCCCATGCTGCTGCTTTTTTTTTTAAAGTAAAGTCGAATGTATCTGCAGGTTCAGGTTCTTCCTCAAATTTAGGTGGGGGCTGATAAACTTGAAGAGGGTATTCATCTTTAGGCCAGAACCAGGACCCTACACTAGGCTCTTCTCCAGTCCAAAACCAGGAGCACACATATTCTTCATCATCATCAGTGGTGTTGATGACAATACTAGTTTTGCTACCAGCCCCAGATTTGACACAGATCTCATTCTTTATCTCAGGTTTGTGCTTCATACTGCCCTTATCACTAGCCTTGGCTGAGCACTTGCCAGACGCCTCAATAGCAGCATCAACCTTGACTTCAGACTTGGTTACCGTAATGACCACAGACATAGGCGAGGCATCTGACTTGGAGTGAGGCACTAACCCAGGCTCTTTCAGGAGCTCTGTCTTAGTCTGAGCCTTGACTATAATACTAGTCTTATCTTTCTTTTTTTTCACTTTCCATGTCACAGTCTCAGGCTCAGTGTGAGTCACTGTTTGTGTCCTGGCCATTGCTTTACTCCTAGCCTCAGCCTGGTTCCCCAATTCTTCTTTTGGTTCTGTCTCAACCACTTTCTTGGTCTGACTCTTGGCTTTTCCTTTTTTGCTTCTAGGTTTCACGGAAGCTCCAGACTCTTCTCTACCTTTCGATTTAGCTGTAGAGCCAATCATGTTTCAAGATAAAAGCCTTATATGCCCTTATATGCCCTTATCTCAGCTTTGCCTGAAAGTCAGCCCCAAGTTGGTGTTTTCACATAGAGTCCAGTAGTCAGTCAGCCCCCTTTCCAACTAGAGTTTCTGCCAATGATATAGACAGAATGCTGAGGAAGCTCACTCAAGATAAAGGATAGCTGTGCTTGGGCGCAGGCCTGTGGAGGGTGGTGGTCTTCAGCCACTCCAAGGCCACCAGATCTGGCACTGAAGTTGGACCTAGGGGTGGAGGAAGGAAATGGGGCTTTAAGTCTCTTCCAATTTTTTTCTCCTCATGCTGATTAGCACAGAGTGATATTTAAGTATGGAAATTCAGTGCTCTATAGGGGAGAAACAGACAACTAACAAACTCCTCCTTTCATTTCGCCCATTGTCTACATCTCCACGTGCTGCCAACTGTCTTTCCAGACACAAATAAGGTCAGGGAGAATAGGAAAGAGGGATGGACATGAGAGGCTACAGAATCCCTAGGCTGTTTCCTGACCTGGGAAGAGCCAACCAAATCTTGCCTATTCCATCCTCAAGGAATCCCCACATTCATACTAACCTGCACTGGTGAAGTAATTTTCTCTCTGCTTTGCTTCCACTGGCAACGGGCCCTGCAGTCGATCCGGTGGACCCTATATATAGACAAAGCGGACAGAGAACCTAAGCTCTTCAGACAGTTTGTCTAGCTTTTCCCTTCCTGGTCCTCATCTTCAAATCTGTTCCTCCTCCTCCTCCCTTAAGGCCCACCATTTTCCTCTTCGGTGATTATTCTGGTAATTCCCTGGTTGAAAATTATATAACAGTGCATTTATTTTCTCTATGGTGCACTGAAATCTCAAGGTCCAAATCAGGAGCAGAAGGAGAGCGAGCACGAGCAAGGAACTCAGGACCGCGAGGGGTGCACCCACACACTGAGACAATGGGATGTTCTATTGGGAACTCACCAAGGCCAGCTGGCCTGGGTCTGAAAAAGCCTGGGTTAAAACAGGTCTCACTGAACATAGTGGACAATGAGGTCTACTGAGAACTCAAGAACAATGGCAATGGGTTTTTGAGCCTACTGCACGTATTGGCTTTGTGGGAGCCTAGGCAGTCTGGATGCTCACCTTATGAGACCTGGATGGAGGAGGGTGGTCCTTGGACTTCCCACAGGGCAGAGAACCCTGATTGCTCTTTGGACTGACGAGGGAGGGGGACTTGATTGGGGGAGGGGGAGGGAAAGGGGAGGCGGAGGTGGGGAAGAGACAGAAATCTTTACTAAATTAAAAAAAAGGGAAAAGAAAAAAAAGAAAATTAGATAACAACAAGGTGTTAGAGCAAAACAAGGCAGAGGGCATGAAAAGACAGATCTGCATCCTGGATCTAGCTCCAAGGTAACGAAGACTCCTAAGGAAATTCACAGACCAAATAGGGGTCACCGATAAACTGACAAAACCGAAGGATGTAAGTTTCTAGTGTCAGTGGCCCCTGTGTCTCTATCATCACACCAACCTGAGAAACTCTTCATTATTTCCTAGGTTCCAGTCGGGTTATTTTTACAAATATTCAGTCAACAGTTACATAAGCCTATGAATATGTCCTACCAATGGAAATTGGCAAATAGGAGAACATCACTAATGAATTTATTTTAGAAGACAGCATCGAAGGTATAAACCCTTTTTGGATGTAGATACTTGCTCTGCAAAGGGTTCTCTGATTCCCTTTCTTTTGCCCCCCCCCTCCCCCCGGAATCTCCACAATCGTCTGCTGTCTGCTATGCTCTTAAAGCTTGAAAATTTCCATGAAGACAACTAAGTCATCCCTGCACGGTCACAGTGTTGTCAGCAGGGAGGGTAACGCCTGACAGTAACAGGAAGCTGGGAAGTAACGAAAAGGATTGTTTTCAATTTTCTTACAGGCTATGATTCTCCTCCCCCACACACCTATCATATTCTGCAATATAGGTGGGGGAATGGAGAGCATATCTGCAAGGCTGGCACAGAGATCTAGAAATTGTTTTAGAGCCCTACCTATTCTTGGAGGTTTTTTTTTCCTAGTAGAAAGAAACCAGGTCAGTTTTGTTTATCTTCTCCCCTCCCCTGATGCCCTGAAACATGGAGAGCTGCAAACTCGGCAGCACACCTATCCACACAAATGAATGTTTGCTAGCCCCAAATCAAATGAAAACAATGAGCAAGATGTGGTTAAAGGTCAGATAAACAACCAGAACATGAAACAGTCTTCCATTCCAAGACTTAAATGCCCCCACATTTGAAACTTCCTGTACACTCCCTCCCTGATTCTCAAGGCGCCTCAACTGCCCTCACCAGCTATGGCAGCCCTGCTTCCTCTGACAAGTACCCTAACTCCCCAATGGATAATGCCATTCCAGCCATTCCAGCCATCTCCCTTCCCGAACGTAGTCGGAAGTGAGGCGAGTTGGAAATGTAAATAGCTTTTTACCATCCCCCCCTCCTGCCCGCTTCTGCCCCCCCCCCTTTTTCCACACCCAGGTCACAAAATCCCACCGCAATCTCAGAACCCGCATTCACAGCCCCAAGCAATGTCCTCCTTACTAACCTGTTCTGCCTCGGAGGCTGTTTTGCGTGTCTCCAGAGGTGTCTCGCCACAAAAAACAGAGGCAGGCAAACGCAAGCGGCAGTCAGGTGCGGGGAGCAGAGACAATGGCGGCCACTGTATTTAGGGGCTGGCCGAGCACTTGGGACAAAGATGCTTACTTTACTGATGAAGGGCAATGACTAGCAAACTACTATCACCTTTCGGCAGGGTCTCTCCATGGCCGCAGGCTCGTCAGAAACCCCCTCGAAGAGACGAAACACCTTCAGCCTACATCCGCCGGGACGCACTAGGCGTGGCTGCTTCACGTTACGGAAGCCCGCAGAGGGCGGGGCTAGGGTTGCTGAAAGGAGATCCGGCTTAGGGAAGTGGAGTGATACTTATGCTCTTGAAAAATGGCCCCGTTTCTCCCACCCTGCGGCACTGCGGTTCTGGTGCCAAGTAGGAAAAACAGCGCAAAACATCAGGAAGGAGACTGTTACCAAATGTCTGTATTAGCTTCCCGCTTGGGAGTGCCTCTCATCAAGCTCACTATGCCTTGCCGTTGTCACGTATACTGTGCATAAGATTTTCATGCTGTGACGTCAGGAAAAAAAAGCTGTGGTTTAGCGCGGAAGGATAGCAAAGAAAAGGATAGCGAGAATTCTGGTGTTTATACATTCGTCACTAAACTCCAAAGCCCACCAAAGTGGGCTGATTAGGTAGGGGAGGGACCAAAGGTAGAAAAGCAGGGGTGAGGGATGCCAAATTCTCAATGCTGAGTTAGAAGTAGAAATGCTAAATTATCCCCCCAAAATTATAATCCGTTCCTTTAAAAAGGAAAATCCTCTAGCGATGCACTTGTAAATGCTTGGTTACATAAAATGTGTGGGCGTAGTGGCAGAGCCTAATAAAATCGCTCCCATTTTATTTTTCCTCTTGCTATCTCTTGAATGTTTTGCTCTTATTGCCTGGCATACTTCTTGCTTTGAAGTCGTCTTACATAACATGAGATAAAGATATAGGAAAAACAGTGGTGGAGAAAAACAGCGGTCCCTCACCACCTAAAGATGCAGTGACCTAGATTTGATCTGGGCACAGGGAAAACAACTACATTCTTAATGAAGAGAAATAATACCAAAATATCTTCGTATCTATGAACTGACACCAGTCCCTGCTCTATGGATTCCTTGATCCACCATATTTCTTGCCCCCCCAAATCTGTGATTATATAAACTCTTTAATTTTGAATGTTGGGCCTCATGTTTGTATTATATATTTGAAAATAAATTTAATGAAAATAAGCCTTAGAATTAGAAAGCATTTTAGACATGCATACCGTATGTTCTCAGAAATGTTCCAGCACATCAGTCCGACACAACTCAACACTAAACTGAGTTGTCGACCATAGTCTATTATATGGTAAGAGGAATTTTTCCTACCTTAGGGATGATTATAATTTTGAAATTGCATTAGTAAAAGTAGATTGTTTTCTCTCAATATATGAAAGAGAGATTTCTGAAGTTCCTTTAGCCACTTACTGCACAGTCTACATTACCAGAAAACCTGATAATGTTATTAGACTGGAGGTTAACTTTTGGAAGGAATGACTGGGCCATAAGGAACCATAATGAGTGATGATAGTCAGTCTCACCAGACCATCTTCAGAGCCCAAAAAACAGAGAAACAGAGATGCAAATCTATTTGGTGGGAGGTTCAATAAAACTTGATTGTAAAAATAGATGGTAATAGTCCCTTTAGATAGGCCAGCTCAGGACCCTAAAAAGTCCAAAAAGAATAAATGAGAAAGAAAGAAAGAAAGAAAGAAAGAAAGAAAGAAAGAAAGAAAGAAAGAAAGAAAGAAAGAAAAGAGGTGGTAGTTGCCAATTCTGGACAAGTCTACTCAAACCAACTTCAGAGATTTCTTGGCCATGGAAACATATACAAAGTGCTGTCACTCTTTCCCGCAGTGACCTTTAAGATTAAGCTTTAAGATTGTCTGTAAACAGCTAAACATACACTTGCATCTTCAACAACATTTGTTGCCAGTTGCTTTTTGTTGTTGTTGTTGTTGTTGTTGTTGTTGTTTTTGAGACAGGGTTTCTCTGTGTAGTTTTGGAGCCTGTCCTGCAACTCACTCTATAGACCAGGCTGGCCTCGAACTCACAGAGATATGCCTCCCGAGTGGTGGGATTAAAGGCATATAACCACCACACACACAATTAAAGAAAAGACAGTCCCCTTAACAAACGATGGAGGAAAAACTGCATTTCCATATGTAAAAGAATAAAACTAGATTTACCCCCCTCCCTCCCCCACACATACAAATTGAAAATGTCTGAAAGGTCTTCACATTAGCCCTCAAACTTTGACAATGCTAGAGGCATGCATATGGGATAGAAGTGATAGAAGCCTAGGCAGGGTGTTCCTTAAACGGACTCTATTATCAAAATAATTATCAAAAATTAACAAACAGGATTCTATGAAATTAAGTATGCCCTTTGCAGCAGCTGAAGTTATAAGCAGAATGAGGAGATAGCTTTCAGAAAAACAAGAAGATTCTGCCAGCTATATTTCAGACAGAGGTTAATATTCAGAATACATAATTAATTGCAAAAATTAAATATAGAAGATCCTTACTCCTCTCATCAGTAGGGCTAACACATTGAACAGATAGTTCTTAAAGGAAGGAACACAAATGACCCATAAATACTTGAAAATGTATTCAACCTTAACTATCAGGGAAATAGAAATTAAAAGTACTTTGAGATTCCTTTTCACCCTTGTCAGACTGGCTCATGTTTAGAAAATAAATGTTTCCCTGATACTTCCTAGAGCACCAGGAACCAAACACTGGATAGTCCAGAGACCCAGGATAGAAGAAGCAAAAAAAAAAAAAAATGAAATGAAATGATTCCTAATGATATACTGCTAACCTCATGGACAGGAGCCTAGCATAATCATCATCAGAGAGGCTTCATCCAACAACTGAAAGAGACAAATGCAGAGACCCACAGGCAAACTCAGGGAATCCAGTGGAAGAAGGGGAGAAAGGATTGTAGGAGCCTGAGGGGTCAAGAACACTACGAGAAATCCCATGGAATCAACAGACCTGGGCTCATAGGGGGCCCACAGTGTCTGAACCAACAACCAGCATGGGACTTACTTAACCCTCTGCATATCTTCTTGTGGAAGTCCTAACAGTGGGGAACAGGGGTTGTCTATGACTCTTCCTCAGCTCTTGGTACCGTTTTCCTTCCACTCGATCCCCTTGCCCAGCTTTAATATGAAGGTTTGTGCCTAGTCTTATAGTAACTTGTTATGTCAGGTTTGATTGGTATCACTGGGAGGCCAGCCCTTTTCTGAAGGGAAATGGGGGAGGAGTGGATTAAGAGGGGAGGTGGGGGAGGAGAGGGGAGGAAGAGGAGGGAGGAGAAACTGCAGTTTGGATGTGATATATGAGAGAAGAATAAATTGAAAAAAATTAAAAATAAGAAAAAAAGAAGAGAAGGGAGTACATCTAGCTGTTGTGTAAAATGTGTCCTTTGTACACAAAGAACTTTGTCATTCAGAACACCCTAGGGACTACAGACATCATGACCATTTCCAAAGTAGCAAAGGCTGGCATGAAAGAGTCAATTCCCATTCCAGTCCCTTGAGTGCCACCAGACCTGGCTGATTATAGGGCATTTCCTGTTTGATTTTTAATCTGTCTCTCACAGTTTTAGACTGGTCTCAAACTTGCTATGTAGCCAAGGTTAGCCTTGATCTCCTAATCCTCCTTGCCTCTAATTTCCTACTGCTGAGATTACAGGCATATACCACAACACACAATACATGGGGCATGTCACTGAACCAAAATGAGCCTAATGAGTTTCTATAGCACTTCTTTCAAAGGACTGAGCCAGTAATTAATGTAACCATTCAGACAATAGTTGTTCGTTAGGAAATGTAAGTTCAAGTCTGTTAACACCAAGGTAATATTTATACATAGTTTAACTTTACCCTCCTTTGTGGTACGGAATAATGACCAGGGCCTTACATAAGCTAGAATCTCAATATGCAGCCCAGGCTAGCCTGGAAGTTATGATTCTTCTGTATCCACATTGCATGTACTAGGATTATAGCCGTGACTGATTTGTCTGTTTTGAGATGTCAGTATATGTTGCAGAGGCTGGCTTTGAACTCCTCATCCTGCCTCAGCCCTCTGCCAATAGCTGTAAGCCACAGCTGACAGTCTCACTTCTCCACGATCCTCCCTCCTCTGCTTCCTTTAGGGTATAGCAGTTATCACCATTTAAGATGCAAAACATTTGACTTTTTGGTTTATAGTCTTCTGCTATAAAAAAAAAATTCTGTTCCATGCTAGTCTCTGGCTTAGAATAAAGAGTGTGGCACACTCTATCATGATCACTTACTATTCTAAAAATGAATAAAAAAGAACTGTGAATGAATGAGTGAATGAATAAATGAGTGAATGAATGCCACAGGCCCTGAAAGTAATGTAGAGAGGAAAGGAGTCCTATACACTGCTGGTGGTAGTGTAAACTAATAAAGCCATTTTGGAAGACAGTTGCTCCTCACACTAAAACCTGAACCACCATATGACCCAGCTCTATATTTCCTGGGTATAAACGCTAAAGGACTCTTCATTACTTCTCCGAGTAGCATGCAGGACCACATTCATTGCCGCACTGTTCACAACAGCTAGAAATTGAGTCAGCCGAGATTTCCATTAGCAGATTAATGGGTAAAGAAGGTGTAGTATGTAGACACAGTAGAATCTTATTCTACTCTAAAGATGTGGTAGCCCACATGTGACTCAGTTTCCATCTGGAGTCAATTCTGACTTAAAAGTCATTTGAGTTCAAGCTTGCCTGCTCTGCCTGCATCCTTGAGGGCTGTGGGAAAGCTCTGATTAAGCCCATGAGAAAGAGCATTTTGCCCATGGGAAAAGAACACATTATCTATTAAGAAGTAGAAAACAGAAACTGCTTGCCGCTAGCAGAATTCACAGGAGTGATATGAACCTGCTTATGCTTTCTCTCAAGGACAGTGCAGGGAGGAGGTTAGCTGACTGTACAGCTCTTTGTTCTGCCTTCTGCCCTTAATCTGTAAAAATGCAAGTTCTGAAATAAACTCTGGGCTCTTTGGCTGTTTTGACATCACCAAACAGACCTCCTGATTCTATCCTGTGTTTTCTGTCTCAGTTTCTTCCATCTGACATTTCATCATCCATGATCCAGGAAACCTAGCTCACTTTGTTTGAGCAGGCTCCGACAAAAACTAAAATAAAATAAAAATCATGTTATTTTTAGGAAATTGGGTGGAATAAAAATTTTTGGTGACTTTGTTGAGAGTTTTATATATTTATTTAGTGAATTATAGGCATTTCACCCCTTTTGTTTCCCCCTTCCTCGCCCATTGAAACCCTTCTTTCCAACAAATCATCCTTTCATGTCTTCTTTTTGTGCATAACCCACTGAATTTAGACAGTGAATGAATGGTCCACCTCTCTTTCAACAACCATTAATTGTCAACAGTCTCTAAGGGCCAGTTGGAACTTCATGCTCTCCTCCCCATCCCCTGATGATATGCTGATGGGGGCTGACCTTGAATGTGTCCTGTGCCTTTAACTATAGCCATAACAAGTTCATTAATGTAATGGCTATGCCATGCCAAAAGATATCTTTCTGCTGTACATCTTCCCATCTTATGACTCTTCTGAGCTTACTTATTCTGAGCCACTTTGGTTGGTTATGGGCTTCTGCATTATCTTCCTCCATGACCATAAGAAGTTTCTCTGATGATGGCAGCTTAATTAAAATTGAATATTTAGATTAAACAATTAAACAATTAAAAATGAATATTTAGAAGGCATTTGACAACATG